CTGTCTAATTGCTGCTGCTAGTGGTTCAATAAAAATTGCAAATAGTGAAGGGGAGAGTGGGCATCCCTGCCTGGTGCCCCTCAAGAGGCAGAAGCTGGAGGATGTCTGGTCATTTGTTCTAACACAAGCTGTTGGGGAATTATATAATATTTTTAACCAGTTTATGAAAGAGGAGAAATGTTTTCCAATTCTGATGCAATTATTCCATACTTACGAACACCTATCGGGCTACAAAATTAATGTATCCAAAACACAAATTCTATCATTTAACTATACACTGTCTCAAAAGATTAGAGACGAATATAAACTAAAGTGGCACTTGAACACCATGAAATATTTGCGCATAACATTGACAAAATCATTATCCTCTATGTTTGAGACAAACTACAACCAGGTGGAAGGTAACATAAAAAAGAACGGTGGTCAACAATACCTACAAATTTCTACTCTAGAATCAAGATAATAAAGATGAACGTTCTCCCAAGATTGCTATACTTGTACCAGTCACTCTCACCTCCTATACCTCAAAGTAAATTTAAAATATGGGACAAAATAATCTCAAGGTTTTTAATAAGATGGGAAAAAGCCAAGAACAAGGTTAACAACACTGCAACTCCTGAAGTGTAAGGTAGGGATGACTTTGCCCAATCTAAGGGAATACTTTTACACAGCTCAATTTAGACCCCTTGTTTGTTGGTGTAGAACAGACTATGAGGCATGGTGGAAAGAAATTGAGAGAGAAATTGAGGGAAACAAAATACAAATTTTTATTTCCAACAAACAACTAATAACCTCTTATAAAAGTAGAATGAACCAATTCGTGAAATTTACATTAGACATATGGCACACAGTAATAGATAAATGCCAGTTAAAGGAAAATTTTTTTTTACTGAGATGGTTCAGACACGATAAAAATTTGATCAGACGTTTAAGCAATGGGAGTTAAAAGGGATTACAGCCGTTTGTACACTAATGAAAAATGGAACACTAATGAGTTTCCAACAACTAAAAAATAAATACAAATTGGAAAATAGAGACTTTTTTAGATACTTACAAGTAAGGGACTAGTGTGCAAAACAAATAAAGACCGACTGGTTTGAAAAACCATTGGGTATAATCGGACTACTGACCACTTGCTATGAACAAAAACTGTTCAAAGCAATATCCACGTTCTACAGATTATTAGAAGAAGGTAGACAGGATACAACCTTTTACCTTAAAAAGAAATGGGAAACTGAACTGACAACAAATATAACAGAGAAGGAATGGTTCATTATATGTGAGATACAACACAGTTCAACGAATTTGCCGTTGTGGAGGGAATTTTGCTAGAAAAATTTGACCCGTTTTTTCTTTACACCCAAAATTAAACGCAAACAGGTCTTAACTCCACAGAAATGATGGAGATTGTGTGGAGAAATGGAAGCTGATCATTCACAGGTATTTTGGAAGTGCATAAAAATAAAAAAGTATCGGGAAGATCTTAAAATGAACATAAATAATATTCCAGGTTATGCACTCCCAAACACCTGTCAAGTAATGTACCCTGGAAACATAAAGGGACTGGTAAATAAGGAGGACATCTATCTAGTAGAAATAATTCTAGCCACAACAAAGAAAGCAATCACAAAGAACTGGTTACAACCAGACCCTCACACTCAACAAGATTGGATTAGGATTTTGGAAGGAATCTCAGAGATGGAAAGAATTACATACAATATTAGACTGATTGGGTGTAAATAAGATAGACAATGGGGGAAGTGGAAAGCATTTTGAAGTGGTACTAAAAACAAGACATAATAAGAGATTTGCATGCAATGGAAGGTGAAAAAAAGAAATGTTAATCATGTCTGTGCTATTTAGAGCTCAGAGAAGCAGACACAATTTGTGAGGTCAAAATGTGTCTGCTTCCTGAACCTGTTGGTTAATGAGACGTCGAATGGCCGATTTAATGAATTCAAAGTAAAACTACTCTGTGTCCACCGGAATTCAGACTAAATGGAAATAAGGTAAGAAATGGCCAAAGGATATAAGCAGGAAGCTTCACTTTTCACATTATGTGAACTTTACTCTGACTTTGACTCAGTCTGAGCAGTTGGACGTCATATTTCTGGAGTGAACACATGAAGGTGTGGCCCTCTTACACGCTTCAAGTGTAGTCCCGCCTCCTTACAGGAAGCAGCTCACCTGTGTGTCCGTGTTTAGTGTCCAGGTGTGGAGTGGAACTTGTTGTTGGTGTATGTGTTTGAAGAAACTGTAAGTTTGCTTTGTTTCCTCCTTTAAAAGTTTGTCTTTAAAATCTTTTGTGCTCTGAAGCAAATATCTACTCTGAGGGTTTGATGGATTTGTTTTTTGTTCATGACACTAAATTGAATAGTTTCAGACTGATGACGCTGCAGTTAAATCCCTAACTGATATTTTATTGAAAAGCAATCGGTCTAGAAGATAACTTTGAGTCTAAAAATGAATGAAATGTTTAACTCTGATTGGCTGGCCACATCAATCCTGAACTCACAGACACAGAGCGTTAGAGGATGGAGGAGGGTTCTTATTATTATTTGGGGCGACCATGGGTTGGGACGTTCATCTTGTAACCGGAAGGTTGCTGGTTTGATCTCCAGCTTTGTCTGTCTTGGTCATTGTGTCCTTGGGCAAGACACTTCACCTACCGCCTACTGGTGATGGCCAGAGGGGCCGATGGCGCGATATGGCAGCCTCGCTTCTGTCAGTCTGCCCCAGGGCAGCTGTGGCTACAACTGTAGCTGCTCTACCAGTGTGTGAATGTGAGAGTGAATGAATAGTGGAATTGTAAAGCGCTTTGAGGGTCTCGAAAAGCGCTATACAAATGCAATCCATTATTATTATTATTATTATTATTAACAGTGAGTCAGTGTGTGTCAGTGAATGCATTGTTTGTGCTTCCCAGCTCCATCTAGTAGACTGATAGTAGAAGTAGAGCAGCTGATGGCAGCTTCCTCTGCCTCACGCTGCTGTCTGACTGCATTCAGCTGACGCTAAGATGAAGCAGGAAAGAAGCAGCTTGGGGACATTTGGACAGCACACATGATGGAAAGGAGGATTTCAGTTGATGTGCACATGAATGATTTGTGTTTCCTCTGCAGGTGAAGGTAGAAAGTGTGTGTGAGCTGATGTGAATGTAAATTCAGCAGCATGGATCAGTGTGAGGACAGAGAGGAGGGAGTCCCTCCCTCTAAAACCACTCTAAGTGGGGAACATGAGAACCAGACCAAAGCTCAGAGGTGAGATGAACCCAGCTGTGTGTCCTTACTTTCCTGAAAATTGTTGCGTTGATTTTATAGCCAGAAACCCCCTCCACAAAAAACAAAAAACCCCAGAGTCAACATATTTCAAATAGCACAGAGCAAGGGACATGGGAAAAAAAAAAAAGAAGATGAAGTTTTATGAGATCTCGCAAAACTTTTGCTATATTTGAAGTTTACACAGCTACATTCTCGCCTGAAAATATTGTAAACGTTTATTTTGTGACCCAGAAAGAGTATTAAAACTAAGTAGCCGCCGCCATTGTTGGAAACTGGAATTTGCTGGGCCGCGCTTTGAATTCTGGGAGAGGTGACGAGCCAGACTGTTGGAATAGAGACAACCAATGGCACACAAAACAAGACGAGACAGCACTCTTTCACTTGCAAGGGAAGCTGGCAAAGGCCAAGAGCTGTTCACCCTTCACTTGAACCTTGAACCTGGCTTCCTTTGCAGCCCTTTTATTGAGTGAAAGCAGTTACATTGGAGACAAGCGTATGGGAGCAACATCAGCGTCTGTGTGTGTGTGTGTGTGTGTGAATGTGTGGGTGTTATCCCCGCCATACCATACAAAGCATGACTTCTTATCAACGTTTCCAGTCGCCCCCACACAGGATTCAACATTTCAATGAACTTAACACACACGAGACATATATATAAGTCAGAGTCTCGCTGAACTATAAAAACCGGAAATTGCAAAAATTCATGCTTGCAATGGAAATGTTCTGAAGCTGAAAACAAGTCTTCTTATCATCTAGCTCTTTCTGCACAATGACAACCATATTAGGACACATAAAAGCAATGGTTATGTCTCTTTGCACAAATGACAATCTTAAAATAATCAACTCTAACAAAGGCGGCGAAGGCTATCCCAATTCAAAGGCTGTTACAAATGTGTCCCTCCTTGCCCAACTCCCAGCACATCGTGCCTCGACCTCCTGGTCAGCTTCACGCTGGCGGCCTCCGAAGGATGCGGCCTATTTTGCAAGATCTCACAAAAGTTTTGCGAGATCCTGAGTTACTTTTGGAAGATCTCGAAAAAGTTCATCTTCATTTTTTTTCTCCCATGTCCGTTGCAGGGATCCGTAAAATAGAGTGGAATGAATGATTTTAATTAATTATTTTAGTGCTGAGTTGAAATTACAACTGAATTGTTAAAAAAATTAGGAAAAATGCAACAATTTGTTCTGAAAAAAAATCTTCATCATACAAAATAATTCAGTGTTTCTATAATGATTAGTTCATAGAACAAGATCTATAAGTATAACATACAGTTGATGTAACAGATCACAGATCATTTCTTTAGGTCTTAACAAGTCTTACAGCTGCTCTGTCCTATTTTCCATTTTTCAGTATTTTGACTCTCATATTTTATAGTTCAGAGATGGAGGAGTCTGTTCATGAGCAGCCCCTTGAAATGCTGGAGAATTTGGAAGTGGAGGAACTGGAACGTTTCCACTCCTACCTACAGGATGTACCTGTAACCATCAATAAGTGCCAACTAGAGAATGCAGACAAACTGGAAACTAGAGATCTGATGGCGCAGACATATACTAATGACCATGTGATGGAAGTGGCGACATCAATTTTGAAGAAGATGAAAGGTCAGTCAGAGGAAAAAGACATGAAACCCTTGGTGCAGTATGAAGACACAGAACTGGCAATTGTATCTCGTGAAATGTATTAAAAATTTACTCTGTATTAGTTTGATTTTAGTCTAGATTTGTGACTTAAAATTAGAGATGTGCAAAGCAGCTGATATTTGTATCTGTATTTGTATTTGTTGAGGGGGGAAAGGTATTTATATTTGTATTTGTATTCGAGTAAAATTCAAAATAGGCATAAAATTTTTGTGTTACACTTCTAATTAACGTTACAGAGTAAGTATTCTTTAATTATATCCAATATAATAATTATGAATATGCAGTATTAGTTGATGTTTTCCCATAAATGTAACGTCATTGAAAAGAAAATAGCATAACAGCCACTGCCTCATCCATGGTTAAACCAACAACTAATAAAATACCATTGGAACATTATGAACCCCCCCACCACCCGTCCTCTTGGAGGACGCTGAACAGACA